AAGTGTGTAAAATCACACTTATCAGGAGTCGCCGTGGTAACGATGAAATAATGGCAAGGGAAACTTTTGCAAATATTTACCTCGTGAACAAGTTATTGAATTCAGAAGTTGGCCCAAAGACGGCTACATATTACCACCGGAGAAAAGCTTTGTGTTTGATGCTGCAATGGTGATTTTCGTGAACTTTTTTTTTTTGGTTTCCCATTCTGCCTTTATGAGAGCACTTTTGTTTGATTTTTATATTTCTTGGTGAGTCATCTTCTTTGAAGTATCTGTTTCCATTACTATCCGTTTCTGTTAATCTCTTCACCTAATACTGCATGTTTCTTTTTTAATCCTAATATTTTTCACCAATATGCAATTGTCAGAGATATAAATATGCTGGAGTGGACACTATTGCCTTGGCTGGAGCCGAGTACGAAAGCGGAAGCTCTCGAGATTGGGCTGCGAAAGGCCCAATGTTGTTGGCAAGTCTCTGTTATGACTGCTTGTGTTAGCATTTTTCTTTCCTCTTATTCATCGTTCTCTTCATCATTTTTGTAATAGGGAGTCAAAGCAGTGATTGCTAAAAGCTTTGAAAGGATCCATCGCAGTAATCTTGTTGGAATGGGCATTGTTCCACTCTATTTCAAGTCTGGTGAGGATGCAGACACACTAGGATTGACTGGTCATGAGCGTTATACCATTGATCTTCCCATCCGACCAGGTCAAGACCAGTGGCGGACCCAGCACCCGGCCAGGGGGGGCTGCTGCCCGTGCTGGAATCAGCCTCAACACTTTGGGGAAGAGGAAGACCGGCGCCAGCGAGGGTTTTGGTTCTTAGGTCTGCCTGGTTCTGTTCTGGTTCATCTTCTTCTCCTGTCTATTTTTTTTGTGTTTTGTAATTGGGCCATTTGTTTAGCGGCCCAATCCTTAATTATATACATGGGTAGCCTGTTTAATCCCCCCCAATTCAAACGAATCCACATACCACAATTATCTCCACTTCTTTGCTTCAGCAGCTTGGCGAATCCTGCGGTTCCAACTATCTTCTCCCGTCCGTGGTCACTGGTCCCCCTACCTGTGAATCATCCACCGCCACTGTCCACCAGTCCAGTGAGCCAGCCATGCCAATGCCGAAGGAAGCTCCTGTGAACGGCTGTAGCCTGCAAGCGATCGACTTCATGAACCCGTGAGTTTTCTTTTTCTTTCTTTTTGGGTGTTATTTTCTATTTATGAGTTATGAAGTCATGATTTATGTAATGATTTATGAATTGGATTTGGGGAATTTGGATTTGGATTTGGAATTTGGGGGAAATAAAATAATGAATTAATTGGCACTTTTCACTTTCTGATCACTAATTTTGATTTGAAATGAGAACTGAGAAATTAGTTGTATCAATATCATAAATTTGAAATGAGATTATGAGAAATTAGTTCACTGATTTATGTTGCACAATTGTTTGAATTACGAATTTAATTTAGGATTTAGGGTGATTGAGTTGTGAGTTGTGATTTTGGCCATTGCCATTTGGGAATTACGATCTCAATTCAAATAATATGGGTTTTGGATTTGGTTATCTTGTCCATCTTTTTGGCTCACTACTTATGTTGCAGGTAATATTTTCTTCCTTCTTTCTGTTCTATAATTTTATGAACGTAAATTTTTATTCAGTTATCCCATTTTCTGCTAAATTTTAAGTCATGAGATTTTCGTACGCCTTAATTTCATGCGAACTTATGTTGATTTGGGGATTTGACAACAATTCTAAGATAGTCGTGGACTATTTTGGCGAGACTTGACGATCCTTATTAGTCTCACTTAATATTCATATGTTGGGGTAATTTCAGTTTAGTACTTGCAGTCTTTTGCTTTTATCCTCTAGTGTGTAGTTTGTGCGGAGTTTTTGAGTTTGGGTACATTGTATTCTTTTGTTTTGAATTCTTCCCTGTCGAGTATTATGGACTCTTATCCTATTTAGACACAATTGCAGCATCTTGAGATGACTGAAGCACATGGGGAAAAGGTCGAAAGAGAGGTATATGATATGAAATTAGGACATATTTCTACAGATAATCATCTTTGAGTTCATGCTAGTAGGGATGAAATTTTGGCAAGGTGGGAAGAAAATGCATATCTACTTCCCAGTAAAAGACCTTTCTACCTCTCTCCCTTTACAGTCCAAATAAGAATCTGATTCTATTCCTCTTTCATTAGAAAAACTTCATTATATTCTTAAAACCTCGCACTTACGATTGCTGATAGTCGACGGTCAATAGTCAAAGTCCGCCCGGACTGAATTTCAATGCTGGGTCCGCCACTGGTCATGACGTTACTATCCAGACTGACACTGAAAAATCTTTCACATGCACAGTCCGTTTCGATACTGAGGTGAGTTGCCCTATGCTTTCCTATTTGTTTATCCCATTCTTACGAGGTTTTGGACTATGGATTTGATTCATAAGATTTACACCTAACACGATACGACATTTTTCAGGTGGAGTTGACTTATTTCAATCACTGCGGCATACTTCCATATGTTATTTGACAATTGACTAATCGGATTCATATTTCTTAGCTGCTAGCCATTGTTGAGTTTCCTCAATTGTAATTGTGAAGAGAATAAAAGTTGCATTTCTTGTATCCTTCTAAACAATGGAGATTATTACTATTATGGCTTCCTTGAACAACGCAAGTAATGAAGACTTGCCTACGCATTGCAGAGTGTATGCTTCTTTTTGGTACTAAATTTTTTCCCTCTATGGAGGTTAATTTATTAGTTATCAGATGATCTGCGCCACCATTCCAGGTATGGAATGTTTCAAAATTAACGCAAGAAATTAAGATCCGACCCACGAACGGTTCGATCCATTTGCGACCTACTACTATAATCCTTCAATTCAGATTGGATAAATCCATAATTTTCACGTAAAAAGTCGGATAACAATTTTTTACTTCACAATTTATTATATTAATATTTACAATATATTTCATCTTACAATTACATTCGCCACCTTCATTTCTCAAATCAACAATGACTAGTACAAAATGCTACTTGAATTGTACGTTTTCAGTTTTATCACTCACGAACAGTGCGCCACTCACTCACTACTCCACCACAGTCACGTGCATTCTCTCTTCCCGCCAAGACCAAAAATAAATTATTAATCTGAATTACAAATTAAAATTTCACGGGATAAATATAGATTTGGTCCCTAA